GCAATACTACCAGTGAGTCGGTATTCCATAGTTCTAAATTCAAACCACACTGGCACACCTAAATTCAAACCACATCACGCAGTACGCGCGACCTGCGCGCCAATCTCCATTATTATAAGGAGTTGTTTAAGACCTGTATATCGTGGAAAGTTGTTTTGAAAAACATTAAGTAATATTGCATCCATTCATTTCTACCATCTTATGAATGAACAAAAATCGTTGTCAATTTATAATTGTTAATTTATTTCGACTGTTGACCAAAAGGTTCTTGTTTATGAATGGTATGATTAAATAATGCTTGTCAAGTATTAAACACTATGTTTAAGACCGGTTGCTGATACCATCTCCTTCTAGGAGGGTAATTATTAGCATCCAGACTATAACCGGTCTTAAAAGTAGTATTTAATACCGGTCAAGCACACATTTATTCCCTCATTTGATATTCTCCCTCTTTTGAGGGCAGGGAATTTATAATCCAAAATAAATTATCTTAGCTTAGTCCATAAATAATTGTTCATATTGAATGAAATAGAAGTACGCTTCAAAAAAAAATCTCATTATTTAACTTTAATAATGTGCACGTGCATCTACTGTTTTCTTATTGGGAGGTAAGAAGCAATTTACAATTAACCAACAACCCCGAAATACACATTCAACAACACTATTATATTTTTCACTATATCTCCGCTCTACCAAGTAAGCAAATTAAAGCAACATCCTTTGGCTTCTCTTCCGCGCATTTCTTCCACACCCTCCTTTTGAAAAAAAATGTTTGATTAGCGCCAAATAAAGAAGAAAAAGTTTGCAGTCAGCCAACCAAGCTGTCTACATTTGTTTTGACATAAATGACATTAAAACAAACTGGCTCTTGACTGTGTAAGAGGACCTGTTTTGAAAGGATAGGTTTAGCCTACGGATATCTACAACGGTGTTTCTCAGCCAAAAATGTTATAGCAAACAAAAATGTATCGATACTTGCTTTGGGCACGAGCCCACAAATTAACACTCCTTTCTAACATGGGAAGTTAATGCCCGAGTTCCTATCGAAACCTAAACAAGTGCCCAATGAGTCGAGGGCGGCATACAAAAGAGTTTATTTTTATCTTTCGATTGTTACAGTTAGTGACAGACCTTACCAGAATATACGTTAGTGTGCTAAACAACGTGAAAAAAATACTACAACATGTAAATGCTAGCACAAAACTAACATGGGAGTACAAACCTAATCACATGAGCAGCATCGTAGCCAGGTTTCTCTACGTAATCTCGGCGGGGGCGGGGCATAGGGAGGGCAGGGGCAGGGGTGTGCTCCTCATCGTAACCCCCGAGACCCCATCACACCCCTCCTTGGCTACGTTGCTGTTCATGAATCAAATGCGTCTGACTGCAGCATATTTGAAATTCTGACAAAGACCTTAATCTTTATACCTAATATTACATACCTTCTGGCAGCTTCAAAATCAAGTGGACGCCTGAAAAATATACAACCGTGTTGGTTTTTCTGAATACTGCTGAGCGAGAGTTCCCAGTGAAGACTGTAACTTAAGCTCTAGAAAAGTGCCAGCATTGCTTGTTAACTTATCACACCCTTTCAATTTGTGTAATCCACTTCCGGGAGAGTCAACTAATATATCAGGCAGCATTGCGATACCTTGGGAAGTCCCCGAATTATTGTTGGCCATTGTACATTGTCCATGGTGATGGGGGCCCGTGTTCAGGGTACCAATGAGCTGGAAAAAAAATAGACAGGCGGCCTACCCTCTTTGAATAAGGACAGACAAAGGCAACTCAGCTTCAGAAAATTTTGTTTCGAGTGCATGGATCGGAGCAGCGCCAAATGCGTGGCCTACATTGTGCAACCTTTCCCCATCAGCAAATATCCTCTTCGCTCGTCTCAACCTTATTAGGCCAAAAAAAAAGTCTCCGGTTTCTGGTATGGAGCTTGTCCAAAAAGTGGTGCGGCGACGCGGCTTTTTTTTTTTTTTTTTACCCGACTTTTTTGCTTCAAATGTGCTTCAAATGTCGGCTGATGACTGCAAATGGTGCCCGACTAAACTTAGTGCAAATATATGGGAGTCCAGAGAGGCCACATAAAGCTTATTCTCGATCATAACCCCATCTAAAAACACGTTGAAATTGCGCAGCAGCAGAATTCCAGTCAAACCAGTGAGTTTGGCGGTTTTGAGACATCATCTTTCATTGAAAATTTTGCCGACGCGCATGGCTACGGCGACGCGCGCGCATACCAGAAACCTGAGACTTTTTTTTTTTGGCCTTAGTTGTTCGTCGTGTATTTTCGTTGGGGTTTGGGGGATTAGCAAAACTATCCATTTTTAAAAAGGTTAGGATCAACTAAACCCAAAGGACAAAGTTGATCTTTGTTCCGATCTTATTATGTTGGCCATCTTGAGGGGACAGGGTAAAAGGGACCGATCAAAACCCCACTTTAAGATGCCTGTCGTGCAGTGAAAGATTAAATTGAAATTTGGTATACAATAGTCATGTAAAGAGATTGCTCAGTACATCAGAGTTTTAGTTCAATAGAAAAAAGCTTTTGTTATTTATAATTCACACTACAAATGAGCCCCTTATCGTTATGCACAGCCAATGAAAAAGTTACCATTTTACGCTACCCTGTGATTGAAAATGACATTTCGCAGTGCATGTCCAAATTGTTTAAAATAAAGTGACCCTTGTGGAGATCACATGGTCCTAAAATGATGATTTGCGTGAAATTTTAAAGAGCATAAATGACTGTAATATTAGTAAAACATGTTGCGGGGCATCCCACAGCTCTGGTTTAGGGTTAAATATGCGTAATCTTATAATTAATTGTTTGTTTTACTCTTTAAGTCAAACGTACATATTGAATGGCATGCGACACTGATATACTTCTTAATATTAAACAACAAATAGGTAGGCATGTACATTGACACACACAAATTTCACTTTTTAACATTATATCGTAGCGCAATTCATGATTACTGAGCCGAGTTCAAAGGCCTTGATGGCGATCTCACGCTGTGTGTTGTGTTTTAGTACACTCATGGAAGCCCTTTTCAATGGTGAAAGCATGGGTGCTATATAGGCCTTTCTGAAGCGCATAAACTGAAGCCGTGGTTGGCAACATATTTTTCCAAAACAGTCCTCATAACGCCATCAACACATAGTAAAAATGCATATGTGAGAATTATTTTGTAGCTTTGTTGAAAATATTGTATTTTCAAGAATCAAATCATATTTTAGTGATCTGTAATAACTCTTCTTCATTTTGGCAGTGTTGGACCTTCCATAGTTTTGCAGGCCGTGGTTGGCAAAAATGCAGTTTGCCAACCCAGCGCAGAAAGGTGTATACAGAGCAACTTTCAATTGACGGATTTTCTGAACAATACATAGCACCACCTCTAGCGAGTATTGCCTTAACTATGCATGGACATTACCTTAGAGTGATTCACTTGGCTGCTAGCAAACAAACTGTGTATTAATGTTCTTAAATCACATTATATTGTATTTTGCCCGAGACAGAAGAAATACACTCAAACGATTCTTTTAGTCATAAATGACATTAGCCTTGAAAAAGTAAACAAGATTAAATTCCTAGGTGAAAATCTAACATGGAATAATCACGTTGATGACGTGGTCAGCAAAATATCTAAAACTATTGGCATAATGAATCGTCTGAGATTTTTCTTACCCTAAAATATCTTTAAAACTCCGTATAATTCACTTGTTCTGCCATAATTGAACTATTCCAGTATCATCTGGGGTGGCTCGTCATCGTGTGATAAACTTCTTATCTTACAAAAACGAACTGTTCGAATAATTTCCAATGCTGGTTATCGAGATCATACTACACCATTATTTGCCAATCTTAAATTATTGCAATTTAATGATCTTTATTGTCTCAATCTCGAATAATTTGCTCCCTTTGTGTTTTAGCTCATGTTTTACTTTAACTTCAAATGTTCATTGTTATAAAACCAGGAGTATCGCGAAGAAAAGTCTTCATGTTGGCTGCAATAGAACGACAGTGTTCAAAAATGGAATAGTTCAACGTGGCACGAGTTTCTGGAATAGTCTAAGTATCCCTCTTAAAACGTCTTTAACTCTATCTACATTTACCAAAAAATTAAAGACACAACTTCTTACATGTTATTCGTAGTCCGTTGATACTTTGTAAACATATAACAATAGCTTAATGATACTTCTCTTTGTTTGTTTGTCTGTCATTGTCCTTAGTTCGTACTTAATTGTCCGTCAGTCTGTAAGTGTCCAACGGGTCAGGGAACCAAAGCGATCGCTTCACCCTATCCCCGTGTTGTTATGTGGATTATGCATATTTTTTCATTATGTTAATAACGGTGTTGTGTAAAATTACTTCGTATTATATTTTGTATGCTTAAATGTTAACATAACGATTTAATATTTTTAGTGACATAACAACGTTAAAATAAATGTTCAGCAATTGAATTGAATTGGATTATCGGGATGCAAAAATGAAGTCAACAACCTCAGCAAATTTGCCTTGGCTGCTTCATATGCTATATACAATGCCAAATCCAAGCCACAGTGGGTCAATATGTCACTTCTGGAGTAGGCCCATTTTTCTTTATCAATTACTTTTACTGGTCTTAATCTGTTAATGGTGGATTTTCACTGCCACTTTTTACCAAGAAGTATTTTTTTTATATTTTTGGATATATGTATTTTTTTAATCCGCCCGTTTTTACATGAGATGTCTTTGGGGATGGGGATGGGGTATTCTTTTTTGTCATTTATTTTCACGTTGGGCATTTTTTAATCATTATTCTACACTGTTTGTTGTTTATCTTTTAAATACTTTGTGTTTGTCTGCTTGTCGTTTTTGTACCATGTATATGGTCTGTAAAAGGACAAATAACCTGGGTTTTGTGTTCAGTCTTTATATATATATTGATGAAATAGAGATTTTAATATTCATGTATAATGTAACGTGAGAAAGCGTTTGAAGTGCTGCATAAGTAAAGCCCATTCACCAGCTGTAGCATTCTTCCCCGCTGACACTACAGAGGAATATGTCCCGTGCTTAGCTCACAAAAAGCTCCGTACATTCTCCAGGTGCCTTTTTGGTGAAGAAACCACTCATATGCAACTGAAATAAAAAAGAAAGTAAATATTAAACCTTGGTTAATTAACTTAATGTGTCTCGCATAAAACTCATGTGTTATAAGGCCCTGCCAGATCATCTGATGTGTAGTGAGGATTGCAAGCAGCAGCTCAAATGTTATGCCATCCCCTTCCCTCCTGACCTGCAGCGTGAATTTCTTTTCGAACAATTTTGTTCCAAAAAGTGTCTGATAATCAGTAACGCCACACAATTTATCTGGTCTTACAGCGAGTCCCAATAAATATTGTGCACGAAGAAGTCGCTGATTTGCTCAAAAGGTGGTCAAAGTAGCTAATCAAGTACACATTATATTAAAGTATATGGTATTGTTTATAATTGGTAAAAATATCAAGAAAATCCATCAATGCAAACCAGAGATATTGTTGATTTTGTAAGGCTTTAATATTTTCCTCCTGCACACAATTAGATGTCTGTATAGTTAAGCTTAGGCCAATACATTTCAGCTGCCAAAGAAGATTACATGTTCATTGTTTATTTTTTTTTATTTTATTTTTTTTATTTAAATCTTTTGACATTAAGTTCAAGAAATTTTGAAATTGTCATTTCAAAATCTTTGTTAAAGACAAAAAACCTATATTATATAATATTATGTAGGACTGCCCAAAATTTTATCTGTGAACACCTTTATTTAAATGCGACATAAAGGCCATGCAATATTTCAAGCACTGCGTAACACGTACCTATAACCCCATAATTGATATATACCAGCAAATACTAAGTGTGGAAATTACATTGTGCAGGTCGAAAAATACATAGCCTTACCAAATCAAAGATATCTGAGGTTTGCATCGTTAGATATCCCTATTTTTCTAACAATTATAAACAAGACCATAGGCTTCAAAATGTTATAAAATTCGATAAGCTATTATAGTCTGACCAACTTTTGGAAAAAAAAATCAGCGATTTCTTCATGCACAATGTTTATAGGGACACTCTGTACTTCAGGCCATTGGTCACAGTACTTGTTGTTCGAAATCTCAGCCACCTTTTTTTTTTTTTTTTGAGTGGATGTTTAAATTTAGAATTGCCGAAATCAACCGTTTCGTCAAAGAAACATGAGGTCTCAGTAATTTCATGTTAAAGACATTCTAGGGCACTTGGTTATTTAAATGCTAGCAGTGAATTTCAATATTCATGCGCACAATATTTTTGATTTGGGAAAGAACTGTTTGTAGTCTAGAAAATCTCGGGTCGGATGTGACCAGCAATCCGGCAGTTTGACAATGTGCTTCTCTGAGTAAAAACAACAGCATTCTCAACAACAAAAAACTCGCGTTAAATTTACATTCTAAGATGTAAAAAGACAAAGCAAGTATTAAATTGGTCCAAGAGCGCACACAATAATTCTAGTCACTTGATTCAGCACGAATATACAAGTGGACGTCTTTTCTGGTACCCAGTCTACAGGATGGGCCAGATTTAGCCCATATGTTGGCGTAACTGGGCGATCATGTACAATAAACACTACATTTGTACCCGGCTCCTCTTCGCTATATAAACAAACCATCCACGTCGCCAGACACAGTCAGAGGTGGCAGCAAGTCATTTTTTGCAAGTCCAAGTCAAGTCACAAGTCACTGTTTGCAAGTCCAAGTCAAGTCACAAGTCATTAGGTCCAGTCACAAGTCATTAGGTCCAGTCACAAGTCAAGTCACAAGTCATTAGGTCCAGTCACAATTCAAGTCACAAGTCATTTGGTCTAAACACAAGTCAAGTCACAAGTATCTTTGTCCAAGAACACGTCAAGTTGCACATTATTTTGTCCAGCTGTAATAAGCTAAAAGAACCTGGCGTTTGAACTTACAAGTTATTTTTAACATGCCTCCTTAATTCCCCTTTTTCAATGTGTTGCAATTGCTATTCTTGTAGTTTATCACATATCCGTCGGATATTAGCCCTTTGTTGCAATTGCTATTCTTGTAGTTTATCACATATCCGTCGGATATTAGCCCTTTGTATACTTCAATAAATTTACTTCACATTGTAGAAATAAATGTTGAGATGACATGAAAAAAAGACTTCACTCACTCGATTACATGTAGTATACTAACACTTTATTGTTCAATTTTCATGTATACTAAACGCCTACCAATGGGTTAGGCTATCCGGTATTTTACATGCAATTGACAAAGGCCTGCTTTCTTTTCATGAAAGGTTCTTTCAAAGTTTGTTCAACCATTCCATTCAGCAAGAGACTTGGTAATTGAAAACTGTAGTTTGTTGTGACAGTCTTATTGAAAACTTTTGAAACTAGTGGGAACTATTCATTTTACTGGATTCAGTCACTGAGGTCTATTTTCTGGAATGAAACTTTCTCGCTATAATAGCTTAATTTAAGTGTATTGGGTAGCTCGAGTAGCGTCTGACTTGCGTTGGTAACAAGTCATTTTTTGCAATCCCAAGTCAAGTCACAAGTCACAAGTCATTGTTTGCAAGTCCAAGTCAAGTCACAAGTAAAAGCTGGTATCTACAAGTCAAGTCACAAGTCACAAAAATAGTGACTCGAGTCCGACTCGAGTCCAAGTCACATGCCTCGAGTCAGCAACTCTGGACACAGTCATTTAGTCAATCTGGCAGCCAGTCAGTCAGTCAGTCGGTGAGAAAGAGGCACAAAATGTAGAAGGTGATCCAACAAAATGCAACCTAAATTGACATTTGCCTTTAATTAAAAAAAATAACAATCGGTGCTTTTCTATGTTTTGGGTATCAGATTAAATACATAAAAATAAAAATATCACTTGGGTTGCTAAAAAATGCCAATTCTGTAAAAGAAGTCATGTTTCATCCTGTAGGCCTACACAAAAAAAATACCTGCACATTAAGGGATTTGTACTGTTCATATTTGTGCATATCCTGGTCCTTACAAACAACACGGCACATAATACGACAAGAATACAAATGAATTTGAAGGAAATACCTTTTATTTTCCACCTGAATAGGTATCTCATCCTTTTTAGTCCTATTTGTAACCCCTTCAGCATAATAAATATGTCAAAATATTAAAGAAATTGCACAAATAAAGGATAATTGCACAGTAGGCTTACAGTAAAATGATGCACTGTTTGAAGTACTTGTGTACAGGATAAAAATGACTACCTTTACATAATTGGCATTTTCTCTGCAACCCAGAGTGCTATTTTATGATTTTTTTCAGTATTTAAAAGAACAAGGACTCAGCTTTAATCTGATACCAAAAACATAAAAATTCACAGATCCTTTTTTTTTGCAAAGGCAAAAATAACTCTGGTTACCCCCCCCCCCCCCCCCCCAGTTTACATCCAGTTTTTTCCCTCTTTTGTGTGTCTTTTTTAATTTCATTTCTAAATTATTGCCGGTAATCAATTGTACAAAACACTCCCTCACTTGCATCATATTTTTTTTGGGGAAAAGAAACTCACTTTAATGTTCCTGAGGCTTGAAAGACAGACGAACTTTCTTCTCAGGATTCTGGTATATGGCTACGTCGATATCGGGACTAAAGAAGGAATCCTCGGGCCCGTATGTACTCAGATTGAAAGTCACGGAGTTCTCAGGCGAGTGCATGACGTGCGAAATTGGAATACTTTGAATCTTTAACTAAATAATAGAGGAGAAAAATCATCTAAAACAGTGCGTCTTTGAAAATAGTTTTTGCCTTTGTTGTTGCAGTGTTTATATATTAAAAGAAAATAGGTAGAATATAGTAGAAGTTGTTTTCGTTAATGAATTTATTATCTTCAAACTCAAATTTAACAATTGCTGACTTCTGTGATGTGAGATATGTTAAGGAGAATACACGAGAAAGTGTGGATTCGTAATTTAAGAATTCACGAGGCGCGAAGCGCCGAGTGAATTCGTAAATTGAGAATCCACACTTGCGAGTGTATTCTTCGACTTAAACCATTGCGTCAACAGAAGTATTGGAAAGAATGCTGCAACCTGACGCCACTCTTTTCTTCATATATCATCTCAATGAAGGCCATTCGTTGCAAAAAAGATGATAAGACATGAATCTGGGACTGATAAATGTTTCCAAAGTTGTTGGAAAATACTTGAAATGACTCCCCATAGACATTGTACACAAGCGCGGAAGTGGTGTCAAGTTGCAACATTGTTTCCTGACGTGTTTAGCATGTGTATCGACACACCCGTACAACCAATTAAGTCATTTTGTGTGTATAGGCTCCTTACGTCAAAATGGATAGTCCAGACGAGGATTTCTTGGATAGTTTAGACGACGATTTCTTTCTGACTAAATGTAGATTTTGCAGTGACGGCGGAAAATCTGACAATTTTAGTCATCCCCCTACCCCTCCAGTCCCTGGCACAGATAAAACGCCACTGCCAGTGACAATGTTCAATCGATACAGAGTGCCTATTCAGCAGGAGTCTTTTGTATGTGCAGTCTAAGCATCGGGTCGTTGAATTCACGAGTGAAAGCGAGCGGAGTGAGTCCATTACAAAGAAAACAATCGGGCCCAGCAAAAACTCTGATTCTATTACACCCACCTCGGCTTGTACTTATTCCTACAACTCAAATTATATTCCATTTTTGAAACTCATATAATATTTTACTTTTTAATACCTCTGGCTTTATATCCCACTGTTCATCAATGTCTGTAATCTCAATCATGACGGCTCGCTCATCGGCAAAGTCAACAGGTATAAATCTAGGGACGTCTAGTATGTTGGACTTCATAAGATTAGCCTCGACAGCGAAAACCTCCTGAACAGGTATAAAGATGGTAATACAACATTAGAGAAACGAAAAGGTAATCATTGTAAACGGGCTATTCAGAATAACACCTCGTAGATTAAGGTGTATTGGTAGTAGACGAGGAAGCCAGGTTGTTACAACTGATAATCAGGTAACCAGCGAATAAAGAATCACTTATCGATACTGTCACACAAATTGACCGATATACTGTATCACTAACCGATAATCTCACACAAAATTGACCGATATACTGTACCACTAACCGATAATATCACACAAAATTACGGATAGTAAACTGTACTACACTATCAGTCGATTGTTGTTACATTGTCGGTCTAACCGACAATGTAGCAAATACTGACCGATAGTGCATGTAGTAACATTTATCGGCCAATTTAGTTACATTGTCGGTTAGTATACAGTATCAGTCAATTTGTGTGACATTCTAAAACAGGCTAAATCGTGATCCCTGAATCTATTTTATAAATTGCAAACTGTTGAATGAGATAGTGTCAGCTTTATGACTGGAGTGTGTTCAAGGCCTCGCTTGGCTTTAACATTAGGATACCTTTAATCGCAAATGTTTAATTATTCATCAGAGCAGATACTGGTATTAATTTATAATGAACTGTTGGGTCATTGCGTTGAAGAGCTAAATAACTATTTTGTGTTTAGTTTAATATGGCAGATGTGTGCATAAAGTCTATAAAATGGAAAAGAAAAATCAGAAAACGAGCCACGCATTTACCATCATTTCCTCACGACGGTTATAACCAAACTATATATCGCAAAAAAATACTTTCCCCGGTTGACAGAATTGAGTTTAGTTTGCATTCGTGAATGATTGTGAATCGTCAATGATTGAGAAGCTGGGCATCATACCACAATAAATTGTACAAGTTTTAAAAGTTCTATTGAGCACTTTGGATCGATGACCTCCCATGAAAACTTGCTTTGTGAAAACAATATATATTTTCTTAGCTCTCTCAATGATTATGATATTTTATGAGCCAAGATTTCGACGGTGAAGCTTTTTAACAACCTATATAACATGAATTGTATCATTGCTCACTGAATGCCTGGTTTTTTTTTTACAAATCGTGTCCATTATTTTAAGGATAGCTCAAACTTCTGTAAGGCTATTTGCTTATCTGCTTTGTATTCAAAATCGTTGCTTGAATGCCGATAGGCCATTTAAGTTACAGAAAGCCACTAAAATATTTAGTCGCTTCAAAACTTTCTTTTCTCAGATAGTTTAGAGGTGTTAATTTAGTTCTTTGAAGTCATTAATGACGGCAATTAATAACTGGTTCAGTGGGGAGTGTTTTTTTATAAGGCGCACTGACCAAATGCTCTTTTAATGTGGGCTCTTGAAATGGCATAAAAAGTGCAGATTTTTAACTTTAAGAAAAGAACAACAAAGAGGCCAATTCACACACAGAAGACACGTACTTATACTTTTACCTCTTCAGTTTTCCTCTGATTTTTCCATAAATGTACGCGGAATGAGTACTCGGGAGACCATGGTCTAAACACGTCCCCAAACGCTCCAACCTTGATAATGTTCACATCCGCCGCTACAGGTTTCATTGCCATCTATTAAAAAAAACATGACATTCAAGACTTGGCGAATAACCATAGGGAATGGAGGCCGTATCATGTCAACCGCAAAATAATAATAGCTTCTTACCCCCACCCCGGTAGTTTGAGTATCACATTATTCACGGAGCCAAGTCTCCGTATAACTGTACCAAATCGTGACGTCATTTCATTTCCGAATCAGGATTATACGTTTGATTAGTCAATACGAATGCATTGTTTAGTAACACAACAACTGGGCGCATGTCGCGTAACATAAGATAGAGGGCATGACCACAGCCTTTATAGCTGGGTCTAGGTTTATCCATGTCTATGATGCCACAACGGGTGAATGACCTAAGACCCGATATAGAAAGCGCTCGCTGATTGGTCAAAATCTAGAGGTCAAGATGCGGTTGTCTTGCATAGTTAATCAGCGAATCTGCTCAAATATGGTCTAATACGTACACTGCCCCCACCCCGACCAGGCGCACCCTGATAAAATTCGTGTAGGCCTATTCAATAATTCACGAATTCAAATATTTTGAAAAAGCACATTACAACTTAATGAAAGCAGCTTATTAGGGTCCACTGATTAAAAGATTCAAATCCCCAACAGAAATTTTACAAATTCAAAATAAGTGAGAAATAAAGATATAAAAAACCAATTATAAAGCAGAAAAGCAGATCAAAACTTGCACTACAGAAACGACAAATCACGCTCAAGTGTGCCCACGATCTAAATATTTTAACCCTAAAGGGGCCGGGTTATTTTTACCATTTCTCAGCCGGGGGGGGGGGGGGGGGCGGATTCCGCCCCGTCCCTAAGATCTCGGCCATCGAGTAACGAAAAATTTTGAAACTCGGCACATGCATAGAGCAACTCTTCCTAAACATACCCAAGAAATTTTTTGACTATAGGTCAAAGGGTTTTGGAATTACGGCTAATTAATTATTTATATGTACGAATGGCAATTCTGCTCTGTGTACACGCCGTATATGCGAAAATTCAGTTTTCACGGAATTTTTTTCGCTACGCAGCAACCCGTGGTCCGATTTTTATGTTTTTAGTATCAAAAGATGCGCAAAGCTTGAGGCTAAAAAGTCATAACAGCTCGGGTCGCGAACATTTTTTTTTAGAGGCTATCACGGAAAATGTTGAGGAGGGGGGCGGATTCCGCCCCCGGCCCCTTTAGGGTTAATATGTACTGATAAGGGACTCCATTCCAATTCATGATTTACTTTTATGCATCGAGTTTACCCAATTTTTTTCTGATAAAAGACTACATACCTTCTAGCTTCAGTCAGCTACAGATAGACGTTTAGAAATATATCGAGCCGCAGACTGTCTCCAGAGTCACCTTTTGATATGCCTTGTTTGTAAACTGCCAGCACAGTTGTGGTCCAGATTGTAAGAGCTGTAAGCCTGTAACTCAATGTTTGGTACAACAAAAACACTATTGCACCATCCAATGCGATATTGGGAAATCACCGAAGTTATTTTAAGCCATCCTACAATATCAATCGTGACACACGCCTTTAGTCAAGGCCCACGCGGTTACCCGGACACGTTACGCACCCCGGTTGCTAGCACGTAAAAAGACTAGCACGAGCCTCGGGATACACCGGTAAATAGGCCTGTATCCATCCGCCGAGCTCATGAATAAAACTTGTACCATCAAAATGTTCTCTATTAGAGAGTTCTGAGAGCCATAAGATTGGGGATTGAAGAGATATGGCAATGAACCTCTGGGCCGGACTATAGGAACTTCCAATTCTGAGCATTTTTGATTCAATTTGGCTCGAAAGTGGCGCTATTTTGCCCTGTTGTGAAGGGATCGTTTTTCAAGCTGGCTACTTTTCCGCTTTGGGTGAGAAAATCTCGAAACGTCAATGGGCAGCCTACCAAAAATGAACAGAAAATGAAAGATGACGTTTTTGATCATCATTTTTCTGTGCAGCTTAAAAAACTAGCTTGTGAAAGTTCTGAATATTGTTAAAAGAATTTTGAAGTATGGTCATTTTGCATTAGTGTCCATGAGAATTTTATTGCAGGGGTGCACCCTTCGCGGCGCCGCCGCTTGGCCTTTTCTTTTTACGTGCCATCATCCGGCGTGTGTCACGTGTAGCCTCTGGGCCTTGACTTAAGGCTAGCAGATATGAGCAGGAAACACTTCGACTGGAGACCAGTCTTCATTAATGAAGGCAGACAATGGTCACACATGTTCCTGTCGATTTGGTTTCGTTCAGTGCATTGAGCAGTAATAACGGCTGTTCCGTTCATGTTCACTGGCATTCAGTCTCTTTCCTGCTTTATTATCATATTACTTCCCCTTAGCCTTTGTTCAGTTGTTTTAGTGTAGTCTACCAAGTGAACCGAGGTCATCACTGAAAATACGCGTACGCACGACACATGCTTGTGAAGCTGAAGGCGTAGTTTACATTGCACCTTTTCTTCTGATGGGCTCTTAATCTTCCCTTTAATCATCACCGCCCTATCCAATTCCAAGGGCACTGACTAATCCGTTTTACAGGTCATGTTAGCTAGGTCACTTCCGTGTAACAACATAAGCCTACAAATATGCGAGAGTGTCACGCACGCCATGCATGCACAGAAAAAGGACATACACGCGCGAAAGGGGGAAAACAGTTGAATACGTTTGAGAGCTTAAAGTAATTTTATGGGGGGGGGGCCGAATCATAAGTCCGACGCCTCATAAGTCCGACGTCGGAAAAACGAGATGTTTAATTTGTCGGACCAGAGGCGTCGGAGCTATGAGGCGTCGGACTTATAAGTCGTTGGACCTATGAGGCGTCGGACTTATGGGCCTTCATTTGGTTAGGGGATGCGATTTTGTCGCACTTATGAGGCGTCGGACCTATGAGGCGTCAGACTTGAGAGCGGACCCCATTTTATGATATAAACTGTTTGGGGGTGCTTATTTTTGATCTTGTTACAGTTAGCATTAGCTTCCAATCTACTGATTTGATGTAGTACGATGTGCTCCGGTGATTGATATTTTTTGTTCGTGCTGTTGTCGAGTTACATAGTGTGTTTTATTTATGGTAATATATGTTCTTATTCCTAAATTCACAAGGGGGGGGGAGTGCAATGCTGTTCTTTTGAAATAAAATCCAAACCCCCTAAAATGCGGAACAGAATTGCGGACAAGTTCCTTTCCTTTGAAGAAAAACTTGTTTGACCTCCTTAATTCAGAAATGGGGGTTGAGTGCTTTTCTTTTGAAAAAAAAATAATGCCCGACCCCCTCAATGCAGAAAAGAGGGATCGAGTTCTTTCCCTTTTAAAAAATAAAAATGTCCCCTAGTCTGGTTCCCATACCAAAAAAAATCTGACTATTCCTGATGAATCTTAGGTCAGGTAGCCTCCGGTAATACATTGTATCACAATTTACGCCACGTAACTAAAACGGGAGGAATTCCTCCTTTTTTCGAAAATGTACGAAGTTTGCCGAGTTCGTTTCGTCAACAATCGGAGTAGCGCCCGAGTATTTCCGAGTATTATATAGGTTTAATTAACTGCTAACTGATTATTAAAAACTTTTTAAAATGAGTTGATAAATAATATCCATTGCTTTCATTAAGAAAACTTGAAATTCAACAACAATTTTGTGTATTTAGTGATACTCGGATCGTGTGGGCGAATTAACTTTTTGCAGCGTCATATACTATTTTGAATTTACTCGGTCTTCATTCGGCTCCGCCTGCTATAACAGTGCTATTTGGGTGCCTAATTTTGAAGATTCCAGATCACCATTAGTCAATATGTTATCTTACAGAAATATTAAACTGTATTATCCTAATTGTATGATATTACGAAACAAGTGATTTATTTACAAATTTGATCAGAACATTAAAAGCTATAAGTGATATAGCGAAATCGGAAACGAAGCCGAGCTTTGAAAAAGGGTCGTCAATGTCGTCATGTTTATTTTTAGGCACGGAGACTGCCTGACCTACAATTTAGACGTGAGTGTCGGGGAATAATTGTCATGTCTAGGGAACCAGACTATCCGACCCCTACATTCTGAAAAATGGGGTCGAGTGCATGTCCTTTGAAGAAGTATGCATACTTAATTGCTCTTGAACTCGCAATGTCAATTTGAGGCCACCGTAGCATAATCACGCGTCAGAATAAAAAATCTAGAGGGCGCTGTTTCATCTGCACAACTAATAAAACGAGTAAAGCTTTTAGGTTGCCAAACTTTTACCGAACTCCTCCATGAACTCTCTTGTCAAGTTACAATTTGGAAGGTGATATGCTTGTCACAGCAGCTCAGTAAGACAGGTTGTTGAGCAAACTGTAGTAAGTAAGAATGTTAATTATTTTAACGCACACTTTACTGTTGTTTCTGGCGCCGTGTTGTTAAACTCCCCTGCGCAATACCCACGATGAGTTGCGAAACGGCCCTGGTGGACTCCCTTTCCTCCCTACGTAACGGAGGGAGTCCAGGGTATGAAGAGCTCAAAACTGGGCGAAAAAATGTATGACCAATATTTTCAATATTTTTAATTTTACCTTGTTGGAGAAGCCAATTTTTACGTCGTAGTATTCTATGTGTCCTTATCTACTGGGCCGCTGGGTTCAGGAATTCCATATGCGATGCTGACCGACCTTAATCAGGAAAATAAACTCTAACGTGTCTAAAGCAATGTTAAACTTGTACGTGTTTGTAGACTCTTTTCATCAGTTTCTCGGCGCCGAGTCTATTCTAGTCGTACATGACATACGTCCGTGCAGCGTGTAGTCGGGTCGCACTAAACAGCGTCAACACAGCGTCAACACAACGTCAACACAACGTCAACACATGACAGAAGCGTCAACACACCGTCAACACATCCAAAACACATTCTAAATTAACAGAAAAGGTATATAATTGTAAAGCATCGAATAAAAGAGAATTTTCATTGGATTGAGTTTCCATTTTGTTGTTAGAAATATAGTATTTTCACGCGAAAAAATGACCCTTCACTTGCACGGCCGTTGTCCACCATTTTGACTTCGCACAAAGCTTGGACTACACCATTTCAAGTAGGGGTGTGCAAGTAATCTTGTCATAAACAACAGAGGGCGTCTTGCTGCAGAGAGGGACACCAGTGCACTCTGATCTGTGAGGGACTGAGGTTTATTGTACAACGCTATCACCCTTCAGCATAATGGTATGGTCCGCGCTGCCACTGAGGCAACATGGCAGCCGATCTCGGAGCGGCACGGAGAGCCAATTTTCTTGAACTGAAATCGCAATTTTTAGACGTTTAACCTATTGATTTTAAGCCAAAATCTTGTTTCTTTCCAAACTATATGGGCTACATACTGCTTTTGTCACTTTTAATGCATTTTGGATGTGTTGACGCTGTGTTGACGCCGTGTTGACGCTTTGGAGTGTGTTGACGCTGTGTTGACGCTGTTTAGTATGACCGGTGTAGTCTGGTTCCCTAGACCTGACAATTATTCTCGGCGCTCATATCACGTCTGGTCTGGGAGCCAGACTATGCAGCGTGAATATGCAGTGCGCACGCGCGATTTGCTTAGTAACCATCCTCATAAGCACACGCACTTACTTGAAGGCGCGGTCGCTAATCCAATGACCGAGCGTGTTTTGGCGCCAGTTACCAGAAGCATGTTTCGGCTTTGGTCATTTGTTGAGCGTTTTTGTGACGTCGGTTGGCTGGAGTTTAGGCACTGTTCCAACCAAAACTAAACAAATGAGAGCGCTAGCGTGCGTGCGCACTTTCGTGCGCACGTACATGACGTACGACTCGGGAATAAAACTGATGAAAAGAGACTACAAACACGTACAAGTTTAACGTTGCTTTAGAGTTTATTTTCCTGATTAATGTCGGTCAGCATCACATATGGAATTCCTGAACCCCTGGATCAAAAGAGAAGGAAGAAGGACACATAGAAAATGTAGGCGTGAAATAAGCTTCTGTAACGAGGTAAAACGTAACAAAAATCTGGTCCAAATTTTGGGTGGTCTTGTGTAGAGAATTCTCATCCTGGACGTCAGTCGTAATGCAATGAAGACTTCGTCCAACCTGGGCTAGGTTGCGAAATAGAGATTGCCTTGTCCTAGCTTGAGTAACTCCAGCTGACATGCTCATATTCATTCGCACGTAGCGCTGTAGACCCGTGAACGCGGCGTTGTATACAACGCCACGCTGTTGTGTATTTTCGAACCTAGCGAAATCGATCCGCCATACATAATTTCGTATGAATGTTGAGTACTCACCTACATGTAGAAATCTGAATTTGCCTGTCCGGGTGTTCATGATGTGTCATTTCGACGAAAGTTGCCATCAATGAAGACCCATACGAATGTGTAGAAATTAGATTTTAACCTGACAATTGACCCTGACAAATGACACTGGACGAGTACCCAGGGTTATTTGCGTGCAAAATTATCGGAGCCCTCTGAGCTACCCGTCTGCTTCATGTGGCGCATATGATAGGCGGTGTCTGATTGGCCGATAACGAGACCGCGTGATAAACACAGCTAATAAGGAGTGCCCGGAGCGTCAGTGCAATACCAAATTATCCGCAGCATTTATCACGTGGTAAATCACATGCATCAGGAGGAGGTTGCAGGACGTTGAGATCTTGCCAGATTTTACCTCGAATATCGTTTAAATGCCAGATTTGGCGTAAAACTAAAAGCAGATTTCAACATGTTCAAGAAATCTTGATATGTGAAAACTTATCACAGGGTGAGGCAATGTTCAGTCTTTGTCACGGAAGGCCGATTTCGCTTGGTTCGAACATGTACAAGAGCGTGGCGTAGTTTACAAGCCACGTTCACGGGTCTAGTAGCGCTGCAGACATAACCTATTCGTTAGAGTGTAGTAGCAAGAGACCCTAAAATAATGGCCTCTCAAAAATTGTCCATTTTCACCTCTAATATCCCACCCCAGATTTCATTTACATTCGGCAGTAATTCACAAAGCTAATGATCGACTTGAAACAGACCACAAAAAAAATACGAAAAATCTTGACGATTTGCGGTGGCTTGTCCGTAAAAAAACGCCGACTGGCCATACAAACACAAGGTCATGAACCGAATAATGCATATAATTGGCTGGCTGTTTCAGATATGATACGGCCATAACCAGGCGCGGTGCCCTTTACGTGTATAGTCTACAAGTACATTTGGGATGAGGTCTGACGTACCATGGTCGTACTAGCACCCCACAAAGCATAAAATCCTCATTTCGGAGAATGTCAAAGAAATGTCATTTTTCCAGATCATTCCCCTCAAGTGTTGCCAAAAATCATGCAAAATACCTGACAAAAATACCTTTCAAAGCACCTACTGGCTTCTCCACATGTCAAAGATGAAGTCATGGGGCTTCAGTGATAAGTACTCACGATTATTTTTGTGGTTGGAATTTTGTGAAATTTGACCAGTTTAGCACAGACATCAGACAGCAAAATGCCACCAACTAGAGTCTAACCGTACATTGTCTATAGACATTCTTACAAACATGTAGGCTGGCATTTATACATTTTACATGTATACATGTAGCAAATATTGTAACACTGGTTGTTTGACATTTTCAAGAAAAACAAACATGTTTGTAGTCTGGTTCACTGACCCCACTTCAGATAAAATGGAATAATTTATACTGTAGCCGTCAGGGATTGCAAGGTCAGGGATCCTCTCTAGCTGGCTTGTATCTGTTTCCAGGTGTGTAATGGATTGCAAAAAAATTGTGGACTAACTAAATATGATAAATTGGGAGCAGTGTTTGAAAAGAAAGCCAGTTGTTTCCAATGCTGGTCGGCCAACCAGAGTTGGAAATTGATACAAAAATAACACTTTTCTTGAAAAATGTCAGCACACCAGGTGCCATGATTTGTCATTCACTAACAGTCCAGTAAGGTAGCCTATTTCATGATAATTTGGTAGTTTTGTTTTTTGATATACATGTATGTTTGCAAATGTTGTATTCATTTACAGTATATATTCCCCTTAAATGAAATTTTGTGCACTCTGGCACCAAGAAGGCTCGTCTTGCTTTGTCTTTGTTTACAAAGGTCTCAGTGCTTTTATAGTCTATACAAAATATTCCCAAGTTTACCTACATGTACATGAGACCATTGTGCCAACAAACACACAGTGACACAGATTTTCATTCATTATTGACAAACAGTGCTTTCATTTTTATTCATTGTCAAACAGAACTAAAGTCATATTTTGTGTTGGGATGATCCAAAAGTACTATGGATGCACAATCTGAAGCAGCCTGTCAACGGACTGATGTCCCTACCACATTGCAACAATCTGAAGCAGCCTGCCAACGGACTGATGTCCCTACCACATTGCAACAATCTGAAGCAGCCAGCCAACAGACTGATGTCACTACCACGATGCAACAGTCTGAAGCAGCCAGCCAACAGACTGATGCCCCTGCCACGATGCAACAGTCTGAAGCAGCCAGCCAACAGACTGATGCCCCTGCCACGATGCAACAATCTGAAGCAGCCAGCCAACAGTCTGATGGTCCAACCACGATGCAACAGGAGGCACAGGTACATGCATCTGTCCCCTCAACTGCGATAGGTGAGTAGTAGATCTAGACTAGTTGCATGGAGTCCATTTATGAGGTGGGGAGGGGTAGTTACCCCCCTCCCCCGTAACTCACCCATGTACCCAATGTGGCCTCCTTGGGATTGGTTTTGAGGTCAAAAGGTCAAGGTCACTGTGGCGAGTTAAATGTACATGTAAATGGTTTCCGGATGATAAGTTGAGTTAGAAATGAGATTTTGGTGTCTTACTTTGGAAGGGGGTTGCCCTTGGGAGAAGCAAGTTTGGATTGGTTTGGGGGTCAAAGGTCAGGGTCACCGTGGTGAGTTAAAGGTAAATGGTTTCTGGATGATAACTTAAGTTGGAAATGAGATTTTGGTGTCTAACCTAGGTAGGGGGTTGCCCCTGGGTACAGGCAAGTTGGGATTGGTTTTGGGGTCAAAAGGTGAAAGGTCAAGGTCACCGTGGTGAGTTAAAGGTAAATGGTTCCCGGATGATTACTTGAGTTGGAAATGAGATTTTGGTGTCTAACTTAGGTAGGGAGTTGCCCATGGGTACAGGCATGTTGGGATTGGTTCTGGGGTCAAAGGTCAAGGTCGCCATACTGTTCAGGTTAATGGTTTCAGGATGAGAACTTGACTCTGGCTGAGGGGTGTCAACAGCAACACTGTTATTTGAAAATGAAGTTTTTTCTGTAGCCCTTTTAGTACAAGAATCATTCAAATCACACATGTACTTTTCAAGATACAGAATTGTCAACACAAACACTGTTTTAAAGTTCTGTTCACGGATCACAAAAAAAGAAAGTGTTCTTTCAGCAAATTTAGCAAAACGAAAATAATTCTCATGGGAATGCATGTGAATGTGGACAGAACTTTGATTCTTGTTCTAAAAGAAAACAAAGACCATTTATTGAGCTTTCATACCCTAGATTTTGAAAGTGCTACAGGCAAAACTTCATTCAAAAATCGGTCATGTCATTTGGATTTCGCTTGTTTTTTACTCACCGTATCCTGTAGAGATTGTCTTTTTTTTACTTCTTGCTTCATGCTTTTAGATTCCCCACGACCAACTGGAACCATTGGAAACACTGGCACAGTCGCGGGTAACCACAACCCTATCATTGTCGGTTCGAGTAGAGTTCAATTCAATTACAACTTCCCGTTGGAGGGACCAGGTAAATGATCATCTTGTTCCGTAAGATGATAGCAATTTGATATAAAAGTGTCCTTTTTTAAAGGGAAAATACAACATTTGCAAAGATCAAAAAATAAAACTACCAAATCATTTTGAAATACCTTGCTGGACTGTTAGTGATTGACAGTGTAAAGCATCCTGTAAAATCATGGCACCTGGTATACTGTCATTTTCAAGAAAAGTGGTATTTTTGTATCAATTTCCAACGCTGATCGGCCGATCAGCGTTGGAAAAAAATGGCTTTTTTCAAATACTGGCCCCAGTTGACCATCGCACTTGTTTGCAAGCGATTACACACCTATGGACGGGTACAAGCCAGCTAGATTGGTTCCCTGACCTTACAATTCCCCAATGTATGTAAACTGCTCTGTTTCTTCTTAAATGGAGTCAGGGAAACCAGACTACAGAAAAATGATTGTTTTTCTTGGTTTTTATGGCATTTTCGAGCCCAAAACCTCAAAAAAGTCAGTGTAACTATATTTGCTATTTATTTCCAACCCCTCAATTCCATCCATTTCTGAAAATTACAGCAAAAGCAAATGATGTATATTCCCTTTAACCCTTACTCTCTGAGGGTAGTTTACTGCATGTCAGTTGGTTATGCCAATGCCCTCCAGCTGCAGTTATTTGGCAGATAACAAGTCTTAACAGTGAAGGCTCCAATTGGCAGGAGTTGGAGGCCCTGGAGGGTGCCTGATACTGACCAGCTGGGGGCACTCACTTTGTTATCAGAGGACTCTCATTGTTCTCTGTGGCATGTATTGGAGTGCCTGTCCAGTTACCCTTGAAATGACATGGCAGATATTGGAGGGCCATGCAAAAAACATAGGAGATTTTCTTGAGGCACAATTGGCATGCATTGGAGGGTCAAGTAGGGTAAGGGTTAAAGAGGTTGTGGAATGTTGAAAGTCGTTTTGTTTTTTTTATTGTAGAGTAGACCCATATCATAATGACAAACTCCCATTCTTTTGTAATGTGCGTTTATATCTTTATAAAACTGAAATTCATCAAGTAATTTGTTGGTCGGCGAGCGCATACATGTAATTGAAATCAACAGTCGTCGGGTTCTTCGTAAAATCAGAAAAATCGTGACGTAATAAACAGGACTCGTTTATAGTTTATACTACGCTGCATAGGGAGTCCTGTTTATTACATCACGATTTACTATGTTTTGTTCATTGCCCCCAACGACGACTTTTACACAAATTGCACGTTCGGGTCGAAACAGGACCTGAAAAACAGCTCTCAAAAGTACCTTTTGTACTCATTTCATGACAGAAACAATAGTTGTTTTTATTTCATCACATCTTAGGCTACATATACCCGAAAAATGATGGAAATGTCTTCGAGCATTCCACAACCTCTTTAAGAGGGGGGGGGGGGGGGGGGGGTGCTAAATAGCTAACTAGTGCCCCCAATTTAATTGTGTGTCACATCTAACAACAAAAATCTAAGGCCCCATAAAAATAGTTGGTCTCTGGTCAGACCAAAGTTCCAATGCGGCGATGCGGGGTTTTATATTTTTTATTTAATGCTTGGATTGTGTACAGACAAGGTGGGTACTCCCCTTTGCATTTTTGTGCCCTCATATACTTTGGTGTCCATCATTTGCTTTTGGTGACCTTCCCCATTCCTTGGTGCTCCTTGGTACAAACATTTGAGGTGGTGCGGCAATAGAGGGCGCTATTGTTACCTACCACAGAAAATTTGAAGGAAAAAAAATTGACGCCCATGATCAAAATTGATGCGCGCGCTGACCAGAGACCTACTTTTGTGTGTGTGTGGGCTAATACAGCTTTATTGAATTTGGTTTTTATTTTTTATTTTAGACATGTACCGGAAAATGATTGGTATAATGAGCATGTTGGGGAAAGAATTGAATGGTTGGTAAACGAAGCTGTTAGTAAGACAATGATTGCTGTTATGTTACTCGATCTTGGAAAAATGATGGCCGATCAACTTTTTTGTGCAGTTACCAGTTTTTAGTTTTGTTCTGAATGAAATTTTGGCGGTGACCAAAAAAAAAACTGGAAAAGACTATAAAGCAACATTTGACAAGTTTGCGTCCAACAGCAGTACAAAAAGCCACAGCATTTGTTTGTTTATTTATTTTTCAAATATATTTTGTACACAGGTATTAGTGCGAGAGCCCAGTGAGGTTTCATTAGAATATCGCGCACAAAAGGGTTGATGGTGGCAGCGAGTAGGTGGGGATGTCCAACCTTCAAAACCGTCATTCTTAAGTGTCACACCCCGTGCGTTTGGGAGAGGGCACTGCCTAAAACCCCCAAAATTGACTTTTGATTAGAATATCGCACACAAGCACGGTTTCAATGCGAAAAGATAGTATTCGATAAACTAATCAATGACCAACAACAAAAAAAAATCCTGTGCATTCCATGCTTAAGAATGGCCTAATCAGCGCTAATTATTGACAGTTAATTAGAATTTTGAGCACAAGGGCGAAACTTTTACTAATAGCTAATCTACATGATTGTATTAAATGCAAGATCCACAACTTAAGAATGGATATTCGCGTGCATTTTGTGCTTAAGAACGAGTTAAAGTTCAACAATTAGCCGCCCGCTAAGGCCAAAAAAAAAGTGTCCGGTTTCTGGTATGGAGCTTGCCCCAAAAGTGGTGTAGCGACGCGGCTTTTTTTTTTTTTTTACCTGTTTTTTTTTTTTATGACTGCAAATGGTGCCCGACTAAACTTAGTGCAAATATATAGAGAGGCCACATAAATCTTATTCTCGATCATAACCCCATCTAAAAACACGTTAAAATTGTGCAGCAGCAGAATTCCAGTCAAACCAGTGAGTTTGGCGGTTTTGAAACATCATCTTGTATTGAAAAAAAAACTTTTGCATTTTGCCGACGCGCATGGCTACGGCGACGCGCGCGCATACCAGAAACCGGAAACTTTTTTTTTTTTTGGCCTAAGGAATTATTTTTTTTATGTGTTTAATTAGAATGTTGAGCTTAATGAATTTCAACTTAAGAATATGTACATCAGATCCGAACCAGCCAACCGATCCCGTTAGCTCGGTGGTCGAGTGGTAAGACATCTGCACTAGAAAGCAGGAGGTCATGGGTTCGAGTCCCACCCAAGTGATTTTTTCCAACTTTCACTCGGGAGGTAAGTCGGTGAAGGGCAAAACCTGTAGTTTGATTTATATCACCCTGCTGCCAACTTCCATCTTATAATAGTTTATGCGGTACCCGCTGCTATGTACATCAGATTCGAACCGGCCAACCGATCCCGTTACCTCGGTGGTCGAGTGGTAAGACATCTGCACTAGAAAGCAGGAGGTCGTGGGTTTGAGTCCCACCCGAGTGATTTTTTTCAACTTTCACTCGGGAGGTAACACACTGAGTATACAGTGTTTAAAGGTCGGGGAGGGGCAAAACCTGTAGTTTGATTTACGGATCTTGCATTATAGTCATGTTAATTGGCTTTTAGTGAAGGTTTCGCTCTTGTGCTCAACATTCTAATTAACAGTTAAAAATTAGCACTAATTAGGCCATTCCTAACCCTTACCCCCTATGCCCTTGTTGCTTACAACCATCTTCAATCCTCCAAAATCCTCCAAAATTTTGCAACTCTGCCTAAATTTTTCAAAATTGTTAGACAGTCCTGCCTCAAAATGCATTCATCCTTAATCCTCCAAAATCCTCCTATCCCAAAATTTTGCACTCGTGTTTAAATGAAGGATAAACCAACGCCAAATCCTTCAAAATCATCAGACAGTCCTGCCTCAAAATGCATTCATCCTCAATCCTCCAAAATCCTCTTGTGCTTCAATCACCATTCATCCTCAATCCTCCAAAATCCTCATGTGCTTCAATCACCATTCATCCTCAATCCTCCAGAATCCTCATTTGATTCAATCACCATTCATCCTCAATCCTCTAGAATCCTCCAAAACCGCCAGGAGGATTTTGGAGGAGTGAGGTGGGTTAGGGTTAAGCATGTTATGCACGAGATAGGTTTCACTCTTGTGCTCAACATTCTAATTAACAGTCAAAAATTAGCACTAATTAGGCCATTCTTAAGCATGTTATGCACGGGAAAGGTTTCGCTCGTGTGCTCAACATTCTAATTAACGGTCAATAATTAGCGCCAATTAGGCTATTCTTAAGCATGTTATGCATGGGATATCCCATTCTTAAGTTATAAGTTAATCAAATACTATCTTTTCGCGTTGGAACTGTGCTTGCATGCGATATTCTAATTAAAAGTCAATTGAGTGCTGTGGCCTCGCGGTTAAGGGCACTGATTCGTGGTCTGTGGGTAAAGCTGCAGGTTGTGGGTTCGAGTCCTGGCGGGGTCATGGTGCGTGTGCCCTTGAGCAAGGCACTTTGTCACTCATTGCTTCTCTCCACCCAGGAGTAAATGGGTACCTGTGAGGGCAGAGATGGTTATGTGATTGATTTAGCTTGCTTGCGCCTAACAGGCAGCATCGAGCTGTATACTCCCCAGGGAGCTGAGATGGTATCTTGAATGTTAAATTGGCCCAATGATCAGGGGTAATAATAATACTGTAAGCGCTGTGATTTAGTGTACTAAAAAGAGCGTTCTTAAATGCCGATTATTATTATTATTATTATTATTATTATTAATTTTGGGGGTCTTTAGGCGGTGCCACCATCAAACCTTTTTGTGCGTGATATTCTAATAAAACCATACTGGGCTCTCGGACTATTTGCAACTTTTCTCGGATCTGCTGATTTTCTCGCTTTTGCTTCTCATGAATGCCATTCCAAGTTGAAAAATACTTCACATGTTGAAAATTTTGTCTGGTTTGGAATTTCCTCTTTTGTTTCTGATGTATTCCCAGTTGCATGCCATGTATTTTAATACTGATGCACTGGATTTCTAAGTCATCATTTCGGTTTCACGTTGTCCTCTTTAAGGGGAAATTGTTTCAATCCATTACAGAGACAGTGTTTTATTGAAGCAATACCCATTACTTTTTATCTGAATAGGAGTGCCTGCACCCAGACTTCAGCAAAGTCAGAGACCAGACCAAGAACCAAGGTTGAGGGCTCCTAGCTACCAAGATGTCGGTAACAAGACCAGGGCCATTTTAATGAAATGGTACAAGAAAACACATAGTTATGTTCAGTTAAACCCTGGGGTTCCTGACGATCAAAGACCCATTGTTGGCATTTACACTAAAGTGCAGATTAGAACAAAGAAAGGTACTGTAGAAGAGCAATTCACAGACGAAATTGCATATTCAACAGAGTATGAGAAGATATTTAAATGTTTGAATGATTTCGATCGTCTCATTTTGTTTGGCAAGGGCGGTGTCGGGAAGTCTACAATTTTTGATATGATTGCATACGACTGGGCAGATGAGTCAAACGAAATCCTGAACAGATTCAAGCTTGTCTTTCTTTTAAAGATGTGTGCCCTAGTACAAGAATCCGATCTTGTCGATTCCACTTTTGATCAACTTCTAGGCGAAGATTCAGGAATAGCAAAAGATGAACTTGATATATTCATCCTGGCCAACCCAAGTGAGGTCTTGATTCTTTTGGATGGTTTTGATGAAATGAAGACCAAATCACTTGATGCAGCCTCATTCGGTTCTGTCCTGAATGCACTGAACAGAACAAGATACAGGGATTGTGTGATATTTGTCTCTACCCGCCCCTCGCATTTTGAGACACTGATGTCAAAAACACTTGTCCAAAATCCTTGCACACATGTGGAAGTTCTGGGGTTTAATGAAGAGGATGTCAAAACATACGTTCTAAAATTCTATGACAAAGATCCTGATAGTGGCAATGAACTAATCCAAACCATTGGGAAGTCTACCACGCTGCGTGATTTTGCTACGAACCCCATGTTGTTGCTACTCATGTGCTTACTATGGGGGGAGAAGAAACAACTCCCAGAAACAACATCACGCCTCTTCACTAAGGCAGTAAATTACATGTTCACAAGAAAAGACGAAGACACAAAAACACCAGAAAAGAGAAAGGCAAACGTATCTGGAACAGTGATTGCCATAGGACAAACTGCGCTGCGTGGACTCATGAGTGCCAACCAGCAATTCTCGTTTCAAGAAGATGAGTTTGAACCAAAGGCGCTGGACCTGGCACTAAAAGCAGGCATCCTAAACCAGCAGAGAGTTATCAAACACCGTGAATCCCACAACAACATACAATTCATGCACAAGACAGTGCAGGAATTCTGTGCGGCGAAATACTTGCAGAGTGTACATATGTCGAACCCGGGATTTGGAAAGCGAATGGTGTACAAAGTTGTGGCCTTCGGAAAATTTCAAAATTATTTAAGGCAACTTTGTCGAACAATGGAAGGAGTCTATGCAAGCGAGTTCCTTTTGAGTTTTTGTAGTGGTGATAATGAGAAGTGCATGACTGACATCGTAAAGTTGCTTGACCGTAAGTTCAGTAAGGATCCACATCGACCCAGGTACCAATCAAATGTTATACGTGTGATTAGTCAAAACTGCTTTTTTGAAAGCCAGTCAGTAAATGTCCCGCGGTGTCTCACCAGCGACTCAAATATCCCATCAGATATCTATGTGCGTGGCAATAATGATTTACACAGTCTCATATACCTGCTTGAAATCTTCTGTAGGTCAGACAGCCACACGGCAAAACTGGCACGCATCGAAACTATTACATTGTGTAACGTGTTTTTAGTCAGTGATATAGCTTTCAGCCTGTGTTACATGAAAAACCTTAGTAAGCTGATGCTTCGGGAATGTCCTTTAGTGAAGGGAGATCTTGAGAAGACCCTGTCATCCCTACGTAACCAACACTTAACCAGTCTTAGCATAAAGGATTGTACATGTAGTGCATTGGGACATACATTTAGAGTTGTAGAATGGGCCCCTCATATGAAACACTTAACAAGCCTCGACACACTTCAAATAAGTAACTGCGACCTCCAGGGAACAGACATGCTCATTGTCTTGGCTGAAGGTAACGTGCCGAAACTTACTGACTTGGTACTTACCTACAGCATGGCATTGAGCGGAACGGCTGAGTTGTGGGCCAAGGAATTGCCGACAATGACACTCCTAAGTAGGCTGGAGCTGAGTTGGTGCAATTTGACAGCGACGGACTTTGAACATATTGTCGCAGAAGTATGTGACATGCCCAGACTGACTGCCTTGATCCTTACTGGCAACTTTGCATTGAGCGCAACGGCCGAGTTGTGGGGCAAGCATTTGCCGAAAATGGCGCACTTAAATCAGCTGAGCCTGCGTTCTTGCTGTTTGGCACCGACAGATATTAACCACATTGCCTCAGCTGTAGGTGACATGCCCAGACTGACTAGTTTGAACCTTTCTCACAATGGCATGACGTTGTATACACGTATATCCGTTAAGTTGTGGGCCATGGATTTGCCAAAAATGACGCACTTAAATAGGCTGGACCTCAGTCAGTGCTATTTGACACCAACAGACACTGAACACATTCTCACAGCTGTAGGTGACATGCCCAGACTGACTGAATTGAACCTTGAGGGTAACAATGTAGTGGGCAGATCAGCTATGTTGTTGGCCGAGAGATTGCCGAGACTTAACTTGAGGATTTAGATTGCTTGACCTGAATCATGTTCGTTGGCTGTCCTGTTTAGGTGATGTCAAAACTGACTGACTGACTTCATGGGCGTCGCCAGGATTTTTCTAGAGGGGGCAAAGCCCATTTTTCCCCCAAAAAGCATTTTCCTGATTGATCATTTTTTCAAGGGTGGGAGGGACATTGGGAGGGTGCCTCCCCCCCTCCTCGCCTCCCCCCCTCCTCACCTCCCCCCTCCTCGCGATGCCCATGACTGACTTGCACCTTGCTAATAATCGATCATTGGGTGGACTAGATGTGTTTAATTGTTCTGATTCCCCTCGGGTATCGTAACAACTCACTAGAGTACAGTCGACCCTCATAACAAAATCGCCTTCAAAGCCTTAAAAAGAAACCAATTTCAGTTTCAAATTTAAAGAATATTTTGAGTCATTTGAAGCAAGATATGCGACGCAGGGGACCCTACGTCGTTTTGTAGATCATTGCGTTGCTGGAATCTCTGGAATTCTTTTGAGATTCGTATGCATGTTCAGTAACAATTAACTGTCTGTACATGGACACTTTTGAGGGGGCGGGGCTCCCTTCTGTCATGAATAACCGATTCTGCATCTGCCAACTTTTTAAATTTGCAAATGAGATTATAATTTGTTTCTATGAATGGACAGGGTGGGTGTTTTTTGACTAATCGCACGATTTACTCATTCGTTTGCACGATTCACTCATTGTTTCGCACGATTCAGTCATTCGTTTCCACGATTCACTTGTTCGTTCGCAAGATTTACTCATTCCTTTGCAGGATTTACTCGTTCTTTTGCATGATTTACTCATTCCTTCGCACGATATACCCGTTCGTTCAAACGATCTACTCATTCTTTCGCACAATTTATTCATTGGTTCCCACGATTTACTCATTGGTTTGCATAATTTACTCATTCCTAAACACAGTTTACACGTTCGTTTGCTGAGATTACTCCTTTGTTCGCGCGATTTACTCATTCCTTTGCACGATTGACTCATTCGTTTGCATGATTCAGCTATGAATTAGTAAATCATGGGGACGGTTACGTAAATTGTGCAAACTAAAATAGCTGAAAAACAAATTTACAGCCTTTCCCTTCCCCGGGCTCCGTACATTTCAAAGCTGAACGTGTGTGCATAAAAAAAAAAATCCCTGATTTAAAAAAATGCAGGCTGAGAAAAAAATTTACGAAACCCAAATGTCAGGACCTTTTTTGTTGTGAAGTTCTGCATGTAGGATGTATGAAATCCCAATTACTAAACGTTCTTATAGTTCAAGAATCATTTAAATCACTCATGTATTTTTCAAGTTAAGGAATGTTTAACACAAATACCATTTTAAGTTCTGTCCGTAGATTGCCAAAAAAAGGTATGTGTTCCTTACAAACGTGAAATGTTTTCGTTTTGCTGAAAGAACACTTTTTGTGACCTATGGACAGAACTGTCAGACAGTGGTTGTGTTTAAAATGCTCTAACTTGAAGAGATTTTGGAAGTGTTACATGCAGAAGTTTACTGTAAAAATCTCCCAACATTTGCGTTGAGGGTGTTTTTATTAACTCACCCTGTGTAGTTGATGTATAATGCGATCGGTTTCTTATCAAACAATGACTGAGGCTGTATGAGTGGTTTGGTCCATTTCTTTCACAAGTTCACACTTGTTGGACAACAATTGTATAAGTGTATCACAACTTAAGTTGGAAATACATTTCTATTATTGGAAATAAAATTATATTTTTGTAGACTCATTTGCCTTACGAATGTGGTATTTTTTCATAAAATTGATGAAACAAGTTGAGTGTTATACTCAACTTGTTTCATCAATTTTGAGTGGTCTTTGGATTTCTCCAGCCATCAGTCAAAGTGACTTTTTGTAAATAAAATTGTACTTTTCAGGGAAAGATTTTATTTTATATACTAATGTTTATATTTTTGTATTAACTTGGTGGTAAGACCAATCATTGAGGTGGCACTCTATTAAAGCAACTGTCATCTCGTGCCGAGGAAAAGGTCGTTAGCAACCCAGGCACGCAAAAAGCACTTTTGGAGATAATCGAGTTGAAAGGTTTTGTGCTGCCATTTCTAAGTTAAGAATCCCAAGAGGCTGACATTTTGGCTCATGAAATGTGTAAATAATTCTAGTAGTATTGTACATTTGTACTTTGTACTATGACTTAATTGTGAAGTTATTTCAATTTTTATGGTCTTTTACCAGGCGAGTGCCCTCTGCCTTAAACATGAAACCCCCCTGCCGTGAACTTACCGTACTTAAGCGGCATGTCAAGATGTTGTCAATTATTAATATTTGTTTTTGGTATTTTTCTTTTTTAGTCCAATGAATTGACCTTGGTGATATGTATGTGGCATATTTTTGAGTAGTATAATAGAGGGGTAAGTGGTGCCACCAATATCAAAATATCAACCCCCCCCCCCTAAAACAAATATAAAAATTCTGCGGCCAAACATTTTGGGCAATATTGTTTGAAAATTTGCAGGAAAAACACTTTCAGCCCCCCCCAAGCTAAATCCTGGGTGCGCCACTGGTTAAATATATGATTTAAAGAAAATGCAATGTACTAATATTGTTTGAACATGATGACTTCAATCAAACTTTTAAAGCAATTTTTAATTGAGCACTAATAAAACACTCTAGGAGACACTGTTACTCAAGAAAAAAGAATTGAAATTTTGACTATTTATTGTTTGAGACATGTGACACAACCTGGGGGAAAAAATTAATTATTTCTATGGATGTATATGCAGAATGCACTATAGACCTGACGGCAGTTGGATGTCCTACTCAGTGTTAATAATCGCGGCGTGCTTTGATTGGCTGAAAGGCTCAAGCACACACAACCACAACACAGCTATAACAGCACAGCGGCACTGGGCGGTTTTTCTGAAGAAGCCACCGAAATCATCTATTATTGTTCATATTTTAGTCACTGTTTGTTTCAAGTCAATAATTATAGCTTCGTGAATGACTGCTGCATGTGAGAGGTATGTTTCATGTCATCTTGGGTTTGAATTAAAGTGGGAAAAGAGTCAGTTTCCGACCTACGAAAACGTTATTATCAAATTTCAGATGAGCATTGGAGCTGGAGTTACTCAAGCTAGTAATGGCAAAGACTTGCCATGTACATGTAGATCACTAACAAAACTATAAAACATGTACTAACCCTAACACAATAAAACTCATCAAACTCCAACTGCACATTTTGTTGGAATCTGTCGGTCCGAAACAGTACCCCTAAACTGACAGTGTTTTGCGTTGGGTTGGCACACGTACTCTAGAAGTAGAATCAAAGTCAGAAATATGTGTGTGCAGTTTCCCATATGGTGTTGGAATTAGCCAGGATGGTTCCTAGTGAATCATGCTAGGGAGTTATGGTTAATGTTGGTCGAGGACCTGCATGTGTATGGCCATCGGGTCTAAATCTATACAATTGACCAGTATGAGTTGAAAAGGAGACAATTACTAACAGAGGCATTTGGGCTACTATACAACTTGGAAGAGAGTTTCTAAATACAAAGTCATCTATTTCATCCCAACTCCCCATAAATACAGAATGCTACAATGTCTACTGAAAGCCGTCTTTGAGATGACCGACAGTCATGGAACCAGAAGAAACTACCAAGCTCGTGAGCTGCATGTATCTGCACAACCACTCGATTGAGGAAGCTTGTTGGAGAAGCTGATTCTACTGCATGGCCAATATGCATGGTAATAATTGCTTTCACTTTTGTGATTCTGATTTTCAGCAGCATAACCAGCAGCATGTCAACCCATCCCGCCAGTATTTGAAAATCACAGGCGTGTGGAAAAAGGCACATCTGGATTTTTCTAGGTGTGCGTGATTTTCCTAGATGTGTGATTTTTCTAGGCCCTGCGTGTGATTCTATGGTCCAAACTGGGACTGAACAATCTTTTTAAATAATAGTCATCTTGGTTTACAGTACAAAAGCCATTTCAAGAGCTCACACAGGTATAATTTAAGGCTGTATATGCTGAAGTGTGCGTTTCAGAGGGATTAAGGCGTGCGATTTTTCACACTTCTGGGGAAGCTTTTAGGCATGCTATGGCATGGGGGTGCGATCACACATCTCAAATCAGGAGTGCTGTCCCCTCACTGCGAATTGACATATGGTTAGCAGGTTTAACAAATTGAGAGCCACTGTAACAACTGTCCCCATTTTACCGCCATTTTACTGGCTTAGACGCATGACTGCACACCTGCTTTTGTCTGGTACTAGATAGGTACATGGAGAACAGACCGCATCACACGGCATATCACAGCTTACACAACATACCAGCACGGATTAGCGAAAGGCCGGTATGCTGTCAGCCAGGATCATGATGCTGTTTGAAGCATATTGTCAAATCCCACATTGAAAATAGATTTTTCCTTTGCAGAGATGGAACTGTAATGACCCTACGGGAGTCTGTACCTGGCTGGACTGGACAAGACTCTGAGACTGTCTTGAGAGACCCTGATGGCTGACGTACCAATGGCGTGAGAGTGGTACCCTGCCTTCCATGCTAAATGTGCCACCAGCACTAACACATTGGCAGAGAAAAGGTACGTGTGTATTGTGATGAATCATCAACTATACGTTTTATACATTAACATGAACTGTATAGTGACTTGTCTGTAGTGCCCAGTCACTCATACTAGAACATCAGCATTTAATTGGCCAGCGCTGTTAGTGGGCGTGGCTTAAGTCATCTACTAAGCAATACTGCATTTTCATTGGTTGAGGCACCCTGTGTACTTAAGTAATGAGGGGCATTTATTGTATGTGAATGTATATGACCATGTTGGCCTATAAAAGGCACAGTTCGAGAGAATAAATCTCACTTCTTCGCCTGGTGGGACCAAAGAAGTCAAAGAAGTCTCCTGTCTCTGTTTTATTGTCTAATTGTCACTAATTAGGGTGTAAGTCTCCCCCACTTGAGCCACTCGAGCCACTTGAGCCACTTAAGCCACTGGTTAGCCACCCTGAGCCACCGGTCAGCCACCCAGAGCCACCGGTCAACCTCCCAAACCACAGGCTAATCCACCCAAAACCACAGGTTAATCCACCCAATCCCCTAAATCCCAAACACAGTTGAGTTAGCGCTTTCCCCTGGTGGAGCAGATTTGGGAGTGCTGTTCGTCACTTGGTGCTGTGGCCTCCAACCGCAGGTGCTTCAACTCCATCGGGACTGGGCCAGAGAGGCAAGGGACCGACTAGGCGACGCACGTTACATTGGTGGCAGCGGTGGGATCCACTGAGAGTGACGGGACAGCTAGCCAAAGGAACCACAGGGTGAGAGTGGTCAGAATCGATCTACCAGAAGCAGTGATTTGGGGATAGCAGAATTCCGCGGTGGAAGTGGAGAACCACTAGTCACAGCAACAATGGACAGCAGAGACAGGATGTTGGAAGAAAGTGTGGGATACTTTGAGACGACACCGGCCAGGGTGACCAGCAGAGCAAGCATTAGGCTACACCCTGCGGTAACACCATCGCCTCCTATATTGACACCGGCAAGATCTGCCAAGAGGATGCCGGGTGTTGGCATCAGGGTGCAGGAGCCAGTGACGGCACAAAAGCTCTTCCAACAGACCGGAAGAGTTGGGGAAGTGATGACACCTACGGTCGGCACAGCGGAGGCCTTTCCTCAGGCAAGATTCATGTCAACACCAGTGACATGGGGACCGGGGGTGGTAGAGCAGCCAGTCTACCGGAGTTTGACTGATTGGGGTGGAGTAGAACCAGCAGAGGTTCGACGGCAGAGACCTACTGGAACGAGCGATGGTCTGGTGGAGTCTGGATGGCCTTCGGCCCGGCCAAGGATGCAGGCTCCAGGGGAAATGCCAGGTAGCTTAAACACCCCACAGTCTGCGTTTGATGCGAGGTGTAATCTGCAGCAGCGGTTGGGAGAGGCGCCTGGACATCAGACGTGCACAGCACCACAGCGGGTGGTGGAAGAAGTCAGGAGCACAGGGCAGCACCTGAGGAAACCAGTGGATCCGGGAGAGAAAGGATCAGTAGAAAAGAAAACTCTGCCTGGACAAAAGGGGCAGAATCCACCCAAGAGATCAGCCGTTGCAGGAGCAGAAGGAACCAGCAGAGTTCATCGGAAGCCAAATATCGTGCCGGATCGATTCGCCGGGGTGGTGCCATGGAGAGACTACAAATCTCATTTTGAGTCATGTGCAGTTATCAATAGCTGGACGGCAGAGGACAAAGCTTACTTCATGGCAGCAAGTCTCAAGAGTCAAGCACAGCAAGTGCTGGGAGACAGGGCTACAGGAGAAGTGCTGACCTATGCGGAACTCACAGCAAGACTAGAAAGACGTTATGGGCCTGGTGAGCAAGCCGAAACGTACCTAGCCGAGCTT